TTCAGTTTTAGAAGAGTTTCGCGGATTTTTGTGATCGACGTACCAGACATGGTGTTTTGGAAGGGTTCACGATTATGGGGGCGAAGCAGTCATGATGATTCGCGGTGTTGCAATCTCAGGAAAGGCGTTCTGGCGCGACCCAGGATCGTCAAGACGCAACAGTCAGGTGTATCCGTGGCGTTGGAATACCGAGAACAATAGTTTGGCATGCTCTGTGGAAATGAACCGTTGTAGGGTCCTATGAAGAGGGAGCTTGGGTGAGGGTTTATTCCAACATCGTTGGTGACTCTTGAGTTTACACTGGTCCTCCTCCTCCTCCTCCTCCTCCTCCTCCTCCTCCTCCTCCTCTCCTCCTCTCTCCTCCTCCTCCTCCTCCTCCTCCTCATCCCTCCTCCTCCCTCCTTCTCCCTCCTCCTCCTCCTCCTTCTCCTCCTGGAGCCTCCTCCTCCTCTTCCTCCTCCTCCTTCTCGGGGTCGTGGCGAAGGCCCGAGAGGAGGGGTCGGGTAAGTATACCAAACTCAAGCAATATTTCGGCAGGAAACTCACAAGCTGATGATGATACATCTCAGGAGGATTAAAAATGGATGGGGGGGTCTTCCCGAGAGACGGGGTCGGGGCGAGGAGGGATCGGGGCGCGGAGGCGGTCGGGGCGAGGAGGCGGTGAGAGCGAGGAGGGGCCAGGGCCAGGGGCGAGGGGGGGGCGGGGTCAGAGCGAGGGGGGGGGCGCTCGCAGCCGGGAGGCGGGCCCCTCCCGGGGCCCTTCGAGAGTGCGGGAGGGCCCCTCCTCTGCAGAGGGGGCCTTCTCGGAAGCGGGGGAGCGCACACATGGACAAAGTCGGATGATTTAGCGGCGGGTCCCGTTGCCGTGCAGAGCCGGCGCGAGCCGTCACCAAACTCAGGGCATCGCAGGCGCCATGACTCCAGACCCGCCGTGCCGTGGGGTCAGCCCCAATCGCGGACCCGCCGTATTCAAATTGATTTTTGCGACTTGCAGGTCGTGTCGGAGAGGCACCCTGAGGCGGGAGCTTCCGCCTCAGAACAGGAGGGCGGGGAGTGCTGCAAAGGCAGGGCGGAAACAGCGACGGACTGCGTTGCAGCTTCGGGGCACCTCGCCTGCCCCAAAAATTTGCGTCTCTTCCTGTGCCCGACGCGGGCTCGATCTGGACTCGACGCGGAGCTGGCGTGGATTCGACGCGGCTTCGACGCGGATTCGACACGGGTCCGACGAGTCCGACATGGACTCGACACCGATTCGACGCGGATAGGGCCGAGAGGAGACAGGCAAGGTCCCCCGAGGATGCAGCAGAAGACGCAAAAGGGGGCGGCAATCGGCAGCAGAGGAGGTTCACAGATAGGGCGGGAGGCTCTGGCCTGCGCACGACGTCGCCCAAACCCACGGCGGCGGGCCCGGAGGCAGGGAGGGCGAGGGGGTGGGGGGGGGGCTTCCAAGCACTTGGCATCGCTCGGGCGTGTGCATATTTTTTCTCGGCGGGAACCATCGAGGACCATCCTGGACCATCGGGCAGAATAAACAAAAAAAACGCACGAGACCGAAACATGCGCGGGAAGTGGACGTCCGAGCGACGGCGAGAGGAGGGGAACAAAAAGTGACATGAACATACAAACTCGGAGGTCCGCGCGGATCTCTCGGATCAGCGCTGGACCCCCCTCCTTGGCGCGCGGAGCGCGCCAGGGGCGGCGCCAGAGGCGCCGCCGGGGGGCCCCAGCGCGGATCCGAGAAATCCGCGCGGACCTCCGAGCTTTTGTGCTTTTGTCGCTTTCCGCTCCCGAAGACATGCGCGGGCCGTGGACGTCCGAGCGACGGCAAGAGGATCAGGAGGGGAACAAAAACACACACAGACACAATGAATCGTCGATTCCCCAGAAAATATTGGAAAAGATGTGAAGTGGGGGGGACGACAAAAACCTAGAACATATGGGAAAAAACATGAGGAATCTTTTTATAATAGTATTTTTTTGTGTGTCCCAGGGCCCCTTCAGAGGAGGCGCTGGGGAGGGCCCCGCAGAGGCGGGAGCGGGCCCCGCGCACGGATGGCGTCTCTCTCTCTCTCTCTTGCAGAGAGGCTTGGGGCGCGCGCGGAGCCTCTCGGGCGAGGGCGCCGCTGCCGCTCGGAGTCGGTGCGAGGCGTCGTCGAGCGGAGGCGTCGTCGAACGAAGCTCGTCGTCGGGCCTGCCCCTCTGCAGGAGGAGTGTTCAAACATAGTCAAAAAAATAGTCAGGGGAACAAGAAGTGGCATAGACATAAAGACTCGGAGGTCCGCGCGGATTTCTCGGATCGGCGCTGGGGCCCCCCGGCGGCGCCTCCGGCGCCGCCCCTGGCGCGCTCCGCGCGCCAGGGAGGGGGGTCCAGCGCCGATCCGACAAATCCGCGCGGACCAGCGAGTTGTTATGTTTATGCAATTTTTTCGTTCCCCCAGGAGTGTTCAAACTTGGTCAAAAAATAGTCAGGGGACGATTTGTTTGTTACTGTCTCTAACTCTTGTTCAAAATGTTTTAACTCTTCTCTGTGTTTCCTCCCAACTCCGCCCACAGGAGGGCATGCCTGACCTAGAACTACAGGGAGTTTAGGCGCGTGGATTCTCAGGCGAGAGTTCCGTGGCCGCTCGGAACCGGCGCGAGTCGTCGTCAAGTGAGGCGGCATTGGTCTCATGCTTGGGTTAGATCGGGCGGGCCTGCCCCCCTACAGGAGGAAGATTCAAGAATAGAGTCCGGGAACGATCTTTTCATTGCCTTCTACACAATGTTCGAGCATGTTCTGCGTATGCTTCATTGTTCCTACAGGTTCCGCCTGTAGGAGGACATGCCTGACCGACCCAATGCTTGGGGGTCTTGCATCGTCTTGGGGCTTACTGTGGCCATCCTGGGGCCCTCTTGGGAGCCTCCTCCTCCTCGTCCTCGTCTTCCTCCTCCTCCGCCTCCTCCTCCTCCTCCTCCTCCTCCTCCTCCTCCTGGGCCACCTCAGACCCCCAGCCGACTCCCACCGATCACCACCACCGCCACGCCTCCGCAGCCCGTCTTGGGGCCTTTTCCGTTCCGTACGGTCTGGCGCCCTCGCGCCGGGCCCACGGGCCCTCGACCCCCAGACCTCGGGCGCCTCGCAGAAATCGAGAGGCGGGGGCGTCTCGCCGTCTTCGGCCTCTGGGGGCCCCTGCTGGGCCTCGGGGCCGTCAGGAAGCGATTCGGGCCCGGGCATCGGGCGCCTCGAACGAAAACCGAGGGCCGGAGGCGTCTCATCTCTCTCGGCCTCTGGGGGCCCTTGCCGGGCCTCGGGGCCGTCAGAATTACGATTCGGGGTGAAGAGCCAGTCCCGGGGAAGTGGTCGAGAGGTCGGGTGGTCCCGTGCCTCGAAAAAGTCGAGACGCCGGATGTCTGGGTCCACGTCGGCCTGTGCCCGGCAGAGGGGCATTGGTTGAGGAATGCGCCCAGGATGCTGCAGGCCCTGGAGGGTCCCTTCTCCTACGAGGGCGGCGGTGACGTCCGCGGCCGAGCCTCGGCTGGAGTTCCGCTGGCCTCCAGACCCTGGATTCCTTGTCTGAGGGCTCCTTACCCGATGGCCCCACCGTGCACCACGCCGCTAGGAGCTGAGGAGTCAAAGCGAAGGGGGGGAGGAGGAGGAGGAGGAGGAGGAGGAGGAGGAGGAAAAGGAGAAGGAGGAAGGAGGAGGAGGAGGAGGAGGAGGAGGAGGGGAGGAGGAGGAGGAGGAGGAGGAGGGGGAGGAGGAGGGGGAGGGGGAGGGGGAGGGGGATGGGGGAGGAGGGGAAGGAGGGGGAGGAGGGGGAGGGGGAGCGAGGGTCCGCCAGGGGGTCGAGGAGTGCAGGCGCGGGAGCTCGGGGCACGGACGCCCCGGCGCCCCCCCGGAGCCTGTACAGAGTGGGGGGCGTCTGCGGCATGCCGGGGCTCTTTGCGCGCCTGGCCGGCCGCGGCGACTCTTTGCCTGGGGCACCGGCGGCGCCTCTCAGGCCAGAGGCCGGCCTCTGCCGGCAGGCACGGGATGCCCAGAGCCTTCGGTCGGGCATGCCCCTCCACAGGAGGAGTCCTATTCAGCAGTGATCAGAAAATAGTCCGCGGACGATCTTTCTATCATTTTTGGTGTACGAGTTCTGAGTTCTTGTTTGTATATCTATATATATATATACAAATGTATATATATATATATATATATATATATAGATCCAAAAACGAAAATCAGATCGTCGGTCCAACAACAGGGCGCGGAGTGCCAAAAGTTTATGCTTGTGCCTCTGTTTGTATTGTACCTTTAGAAAGCCCCACGAGCCGCCGCAGGTTTGCGGTGCGCTCGAGGGGGTAGGGGATAGGGGGGGAGCTTCTTAGAAGGAGGCCGCTTCTTACGAAGGCGCGGGCCCCGCATCTATGGATAGGGACCGCGCCTTCTCAGAAGCAGCCTCCTTCTGGGAAGCCCCCCTCCCTCTCCCCGCAACCCTCCCCGAAAGCAAACGCAAGCTGTGCATGCTGACCGACGTGCGAAGTGCGGCCCACGGGAATCAGAGCTTCGTGCCTGCCGTCGCCCGTTTCGGCGCCAACGCCGAGATCTCGTGTCTGTCCTGGGGCGCCGCCGCGCCGCGGGGAAGCCCTGCGTTGGCTTTCGAGGGGGGGATGTCTGCCCAGATGTGCGACGCTTCGATTTGTTCCACACTCGGGGTCCCCCTGGAAGTCCCGACCCGTTCCCCGGGACCCGTGCTCCATCCTGGACTGCTCCTCGACGGCCCCGAGGCCCGGCGAGGCCCCCCCGATCGGCCGAAGCTGGCCAGAAAAGCCTCCCGTCCTGCTCTTCCTCTCCCTTCCCGACGCGCTTCTGCCTGGGTGCGCGTACGCCGCGCAGGAGCCCCCGAGGCCCAAAGTTGGCCAGAAAAGCCTCCCGTCCTGCTCTTCTGCCCTTCCCGTCGCGCTGCTGCCTTTGGTGCGCGTGCGGCCGCGCAGAGGAGCACCCCGCGGCGCCAACCCGCCGAATGTAGGCCCCGATGCCGCCGCCGGCGCCGCTGGCCGCGCGCCTGCTGCTCCTGGCCTCCGCCGCGCGGCCGCCGCGCGGCGCCTTCCTCGCCGGGCGCGCCTTCCTCGCCGGAGGCCCGCGGCCGGCTTCCCCTCGGCGGCCGTCGGCCGTCCGCCCGGGCGCTGCGCCGTCGCCGTCGTCGTCGCCGTCGTCGCCGTCGCCGCCGTCGCCGTCGCCGTCGCCGTCGCCGTCGTCGCCGTCGCCGCCGCCGTCGCCGTCGTCGCCGTCGTCGTCGCCCGCTCGGGCGCTGCGCAGCGGGGCGGTGAGGCCGAGGCCCCCGCGCGCTGTGGCGAAAACACGGCCCCAGACCCCCTCGGGCAAGGAACAAAAATCCGAACGGGAGGGTTTTCCGTATTCTCGGCCTCTGGAGGCACTTACTGGCCCTCGGGGCCGTCAGAAACCGATTCAGCATGAAAAACCGGTCCAGGGCAATGGGTCGAGACTTCCAGAGTCGACGATGTGAAAGAATCATGTCATCGGGGGTCTGGGACGGGAGGTTTTTTTGATGTCGTTGTCGCTACTTTCGGCCCTCGGAGACCGTGGCCGGGCTCCGGGAGCGTCAGCACGACGCGGGATGAAACACCGGTGCCGGGGAAGCGGCCGAGAGGTCGGGGGTCCGTGCCTCGCAAAAATCGAGACGCCAGATGTCTGGGGAAGTGGGGGGGCGCAGAAAGGCTCGGATCCCCGCGCGTGGCGAACAAATGGTCGCTGGAGGTGTTTTTGTTTGCCTTTCTCAGCCTTCGGGGGTCCCCAATCCGGGCCTCGGGATCGTGCGAAAACGACTTAGGATGAGAAAACGGTCCCTGGGGATGGGTCGAGACTTCTGGGGTCGACGTTGTCAGCAAATTGCGACCTCGGGGGTCTGGGAAAGGTACACCGGTGGTGCCCGAAAGGGGCTCCCTGCAGGGCCCAAAAGGGGCACGGAAAGTGCACGTTTCTCTCCACCCATCTATCGTTAAGTCGGGCCTGTCCCTCTACAGGAGGAATATCCAGGAATAGGCAAACAAGAGTCGGGGAACGATTTTTCTGCGATGTGTTCGAATATGTTTGACCATGTTTAGATTCTGTTCTATCTCTCCTCCCATATCCGCCTGTATAGGGGGACATGCCCGACCCAAATCTACCGCGCCCACGATGCGGCAGCAGCGCCACCGGGAGATTTCGCGGGCGAAGAGCGGTAACTAGACTACGAACGGCCTGGCGAGCCTCGAGGCGCAGCCGGACGGCCCGCCGGGGGTGGCTGCCGGGGAGCCCCGGGAGGCCACGTCCCAAGCAGTGGCGAGGCGTCCTGGCTCGCCTATAGCCCCAGCAAGCAATGCTCTAAGAACCTTCTTGTGGTTCCCAGGACATGCTCTCAGAACATTTCTGGTCGGGACCGTCTTGTTTTAACACATCGGGCTTATGCTCTAAGAACATTGTTTTTGTTATTTGAACAGTTCTGGGTTCTAAGAACATGTCGTGGTATCACTATAGGAATGCCAGGACGGTCGGTCCCTGAGATGTTCCAATTGCCCAGACGATCCCGCCGTCATGATCTTTGTCACAGCGCCGGCCCTCCGCGGTCTCGACCCCTTCCCCTGGGCCGGCTTCTCATGCAGAGTCGTTTTTGTCGACGGCCCCGAGGGCCTGATTAGGGGCTTCGCGAGGCCGAGAGAGTACGGGAGAGCCTCCCGTCGTGATTGTTGTCCCTGCCCGAGGGGGTCTGGGGAGGCCATGTCCAAATGTTCTGGTTGCGATTGGAGCGCAGCCAGGGGGCCCGCCCAGGGGGTGGCTCCCGGGCAGCCGCGCGAGGCCATGTACCACAGAAGCTGTGCCGCGATCGGGGGCGAGGAGGAGGAGGAGGAGGAGGAGGAGCAGGAGGAGCAGGAGGAGCAGGAGGAGCAGGAGGAGCAGGAGGAGCAGGAGGAGAAAGTGGAGCAGGAGGAGCAGGAGGAGCAGGAGAAGCAGGAGGAGCAGGAGGAGGAGAAGGAGGAGGAGGAGGAGGAGGAGGAGGAGGAGCTGTCCCAGGGCGGCTGGGAGGTCTATGCCTGCGTACAGCCCTGGGGCAGGCGCCCTGAGACAGGCGCCCCATACCCATCGGTCGCTGCAGGTAGGCATTTTGGGATTCCCAGGTTCCAATCTACGCGAAGCGCCTTCCTCCTTCGATGATAGATTGGTTTCGCCCTTTCCATCCTCTGTAGGGGGCGGGCGGACACCCAATCTACTTTCAACGCCTTCCTGCTTCATGCTTCTACCTACTTCTTCCGACGGATGGGTAGCGTCAGAGCCCCCGGTGGGGGCATGAACTTTCTGGCCGCCCTGGGACCGGCGCCCCCCAATGGCGCAGGCGTTTTCTGTTATATGCTGCTATTCGCCCGCCAAGGGCTGGGTGCCCGATGCGGCGGTTCAAAGATCGGAGGTGGATAGACCTCGTACCCTGACACGTCGATGAAGGAATTGGTCTGTTTCGGTTCGTGAGAGGGCGTCACGCCCGTCGTTTTGCGGGTCCGGGTCCGTCGGTGTTGGTCCCAGGACGTTTTCATTGAGGGGAGGTTTACGAAAGGGAGGTTTGTCCACCCCTGAAAAGAGGGGTCAGGGGCAACGCTGGGGGGGAGGAGGAGGAGGAGGAGGAGGAGGAGGAGGAGGAGGAGGAGGAGGAGGAGGAGGAGGAGGAGGAGGAGGAGGAGGAGGAGGAGGAGGAGGTAGTGTGGGATAGGCTCCGGAGGGAGCGCGTCCGCCCCAGTCACCCGCTCTTCGCCGACCGGGGCGGGGCAGCCCGCCCCGCCGCGGGAGCCTTCGGTCTTGCCGTCGGGGGCCTGCCGCCGCTCTCTCGGCGAGGCCTCGCCGACTCCGGCTCGGCGCTGCCTCCCCCGAAGCAGCCCCCCCGTACCGTTATGTCGGGCGTGTCCCCCCTACAGGGGGATGTTCGACGAGAAAGTAAAAATAGTCAAACATTGCCCCCCGAAAGGTCAAGACATATTGCAAACATAGTCCCCAAGCTATGTTTGGATCATTTGTGGATTCTGTTTTGGTTTTTCTCCACATGCTTCGTGGGGTTCTGGTTTTCTTCCCTGCCGCGCCGCACCCGCGTCTCACCTCCTCCCCTCCTCCCTCTCCGTCTCTCTCTCTCTCACACACACCTCACTCTTCCCCTCCTCCTCACAGCACTGCTCAGAACAGCTCAGCTCAGCTCAGCTCAGCTCAGCACGGCACAGCTCAGCTCAGCACGGCACAGCTGAGCACAGCTCAGCTCAGCTCAACTCAGCACAGCACAGCATAGCACAGCACGGCACAGCACAGCACAGCTCACCGCACAGCAGCACAGAACAGCACAGCACAGCATAGCACACAGGGCATTCCTTCGACGCCACAGGGGGTGCGCTGGAGGTGGAGGCCCTATGCGTTGTAGGCTCCCAGGGCGTGGCAGGCGTGGCATTTCCTCGACGCCACAGGGGGTGCGCTGGGGGTGGGGGCCGGAGGGGCGTCTTTCCCAAACCAAACGGGTCTTCCCAAACCAAACTTGGGCTTGGGTGACGTAGGCTTTGGTTTGGAAAGACCCGGTGTGGTTTGGGAAGACCCGGTTCGTTTGGAAGACCCGGATGTTGGTTTGGGAAGACCCGGTTGGTTTGGGAAGATCCGGTTGGTTTGGGAAGACTCGGGCGCGTGGTTTGGGAAGCCCTGGTTGGTTTGGGAAGACCCGGTTCGTTTGGGAAGACCCGGGGAGTTGGTTCGGGAAGACCCGGTTGGTGTGGGACGACCCGGAGGTTTGTTTGGGAAGGCCCGGTTGGTTTGGGAAAACCCGGTGTGGTTTGGGAAAACCCGTTTGGTTTGGGAAGACCCGGTTGGTTCGGGAAGACCCGGAGGTTGGTTTGGGAAGACCCGGAGGTTGGTTTGGGAAGACCCGTTTGGTTTGGGAAGACCCGGGGAATTGGTTTGGGAAGATCCGGAAGTTGGTTCCCGTTTGGTTTGGGAAGACCCGGGGAGTTGGTGTGGGAAGGCCCTGTTGGTTTGGGAAGACCCGGACGTTGTGGTTTGGGAAGACCTGGTTTGTTAGGGAAGGCCTGTGTGAGGTTTGGGAAGGCCCGGGGCTGTGGTTTGGGAAGGCGCGCTTGGTTTGGGAAGACCTGGCCGTTCGGTTTGGGAAGACCCTGTTGGTTTGGGAAAACCCGAGTTTGGTTTGGGAAGACCCGTGCCTCGTGGTTCGGGAAGGCCCAGTCGGTTTGGGAAGGCCCGCTTTGTTTGGGAAGACCTCGCCGTTGTGGTTTGGGAAGGCCCGTTTGGTTGGGATGACCTGGTTGGGTAGGAAAGACCCGGTGTCGTGGTTCGAAATGACCTGGGGGTGTGGGAATACGTCGGCACTTGGTTCGGGCAGACCCGCTTGGGCAGGGAAGAGGAGGGGGAGGAGGAGGAGGAGGAGGAGGAGGAGGAGGAGAAGGAGGACATGCAGGAGGATGGAGAGGAGGACGAGGAAGAGGAAGGAGGATGGAGAGGAGGAGGAGGAGGACGAGGAGGATGGAGAGGAGGAGGAGGAGGAGGACGAGGAGGAGAAGGAGGACGAGGAAAAGGAGGAGGAGGAGGAAGAGGAAGAAGGATAAGAGGAGAAGGGGGAGGAGGACGAGGAGGAGGCCTCTTCGCCGACCCCATCTAGGAGCCCTGGAGCCCTGGAGCCTGGACCTCGGGAAGCGGCGGGTGGGGATGCACTGCAGTCGGTCCCGCCAGGGGCCCGGATATGTCCACAGTCGCTCCACCCCCTGGGGGTATGGGAAGCGCGGTCAGGAACGGAACGCTTGCCTGGCGAGCGACTCTGAACATGACGGGTTTGACTACGATTGAGTGCGAGTGTGTGTCTGTCTGCGCGCGATGAGTTTGCGCACGAGTGAGTCTGAGTGTGAGCGGGTCTGAGCGTGAGTCCATCCGCGAGTCGGTCTGAGTACGAGCGGGTCCAGTGTGAGGGTGAATGAGTCTGCGTGTGGATGGGTGAGCAGCAGGGACCCCAAGGAGGAGCGGGGCGGGGCGGGGCGGGGCGGGCGGGCGGACCCTAACAAGCGGGTCGGGTCGGGTCGGGCGGGCGGGCCCTAACGGGCGGGTCGGGTCG